GGCTATGTCCTTGTCCGTGGGCTCAAGTGTCCTCAGATCTCACCACACTTTGGACCAACCAGCCCTTCTTCTTCTCTCTGTCATCTCCAGGTCAACGGGATTCAATGGACAGGGGCTGAGCTCAGCCCATTTCTTCATTTCTGCCTCTTCCACTCACCAGTAGACCAATGTGGTTGCCAACAAGCTTACATGCTTGTTTGTGTATTTCCTTTAAGTTTCAGTCTTAGAGGGGAGTTTGTCCTGAAGGAACTTGATTGCTAGCCTTGATGACTTCCTGGTGAACAGCTTGCTTATTCTTGTAGTAGCCAATCATGCTGACATTTTTGTTTGGGGTTTTTCCTGAAGATCTTTCTTTGAAGATGTATCTTCTGTCACTGTAGCTGTTCCAGTCTGCTTCTTCTTTCCAGTGGGAATGTCCCACCTCATAAGGTTCTGGATGGGACTCAGGATTCCACCTAAGGTCCTATACTCTGTAAAGACTTTGCAGGAGGCCTATTTCACTGGGCAAGTTGTAGAACCCCTTTGAGGTATTCCAACCAGTTATAGGCTGAAGGTGGGCTTACAGGTTTTCTCTAATCATGTTTCCCAACATTCCTTTCTATCCCACCCAAGTGTCTATTTTACAATAGTAGGCAAAGGTAACTAATATTCATAAGGCAGTCAAGGATTTTAGTATTATTTACCCTCTTCAAGCTATGCCTAGAGATTCCTATATCCCAGAGCCCTGTTGTTCCAAGGTTGAGCATGCATCACTATTTACCTCTGTCCCACTAGGCCATGCAAAACTGTTTCAGTGTTACTCTATCTATCTTGTTCTTCTGCCTCCTCTCTCTTGTTGTATTTCCCTCCCCAACACCCAAACTAAACCCCCACCCCAACTCTACTGTTGTGGTTACCTTATATTCCATTAGTTCTTCCCTCCATTTAAGACAGTCTATTTTATCCAGTAATCTACTTGACCGTCCCACCACCTGGATCTCTGTTCCTCTGTGTTTACCTTCTTTCACATTGTAATTGTTTTAATCATAGACTGACCTCTCAGATCCTCTGTTCTTATAATTTTATTCTGTTCTTGACTCTTCCATTTGTCGATTGAGTTCAGGGTGGTACTGCCACGTACGTCATTCTCTGGTTGTTGTTTGTTTTTGTTGGTTCTCAGTCCACAGAACTTCCTTTAGGATGTTTTT